ATGACGTTAATTTTACTCATCTTTATCATTGACGTTAAATCACATTTTATCAATGACGTTAAATCAACTTTTATCAATGACGTCAAATCATCTTTTATCAATGACGTTAACTCATCTTTATCATTGACGTTAAATCACATTTTATCAATGACGTCAAATCAACTTTTATCAATGACGTTAACTCATCTTTATCAATGACGTTAACTCATCTTTATCATTGACGTTAAATCACATTTTATCAATGACGTCAAATCAACTTTTATCAATGACGTTAACTCATCTTTATCAATGACGTGAACTCATCTTTATAAATGACATTTAAAAATCATCTTTTTAATGATCTTTTATCAAAGTCAGCTTGTCCTAGACGATGACGCCAATCAATCAATCAACGGAGTAAAATCATTTCCTATTATTCAAGTTAAATCAGCTAAACCTGATTTTTCCTTTTTCAATGAATTGATATGTAATGTGATGTTTTTATTAGTGATGGGCCAAGCTCTCTACGATTAATTGTTTTTTTACGAAATGCTACGTGGACGTCAGCTTGTTCACTGGCTTTGGCTTCATTCTTTGCTTTGTCTGTCGAAGGTGGAATACAAAATGATAATATATAATGAATTTTGACCGGACAGTTGCGTTTCCGTCGGTATCTGGGCTTCACGTTCTACCTTAAGCACGGCGTGGTTTCCTCTTGTCAGTGGTGCAGGAGTACAGAGGGCCTGGTAATGACAGCTGCCTAGTGGTTCGGATGAGATGAAAATCCTGGGACAATGTATGCATTGGAATGCACGTAAAAGATCCCTTGGCAGTTGGCATTCGATATAAGAGTAGGTCGTAGTGCCGTAGGACGTCAAACCCCATTTCATTTCATTTTCGTCTTGCATCGCTGATAAGGTGTGTGTGTGTGTCTGTGTGTGGTGGGTGGGTGGGGGGCTTTCTGGGTCGAAGACTAGTAGCGAACCTGGGACCGAGTGTTTAGTGAGATATTGCAATGATGACTTATCTGACGTTGTGGGTGCATATTCTTTTTCAGCTGGTTTGAGTAGACCACCGAATAGAGTATGGAATGAACAGCGACGTCTGGACAATCAAGGCCATAGACAAACAGACAGTGGTGGTGTTCTCAGCCATGAAAGAATGAATGGAGGGAGAAGAATGGCACTGGCCGATAGAAATGGTAATATTGGCAATGGACAATTATTTGAACGCAATAGCTTCAGTAACCAAGGCAACATGGTAGACCAACGACAAAACAATCGTAATCAGTTTGGAAGTGCGGGTCGTGTTCAGAATTCACAGCAAAATGGACAGGTTTGGCGCCAGAATAACCCAAATTCCAGGATTTTACAGAATTCACAGCAAAATGGACAAGTTTGGCGCCAGAATAACCCAAATTCCATGATTGTACAGAATTCACAGCAAAATGGACAAGTTTGGCGCCAGAATAACCCAAATTCCAGGATTGTACAGAATTCACAGCAAAATGGACAAGTTTGGCGCCAGAATAACCCAAATTCCATGATTGTGCAGAATTCACAGCAAAATGGACAAGTTTGGCGCCAGAATAACCCAAATTCCATGATTGTGCAAGGCGTAGGGAATCGGGCCAGTTTTCAACAACGAATGGTGAATCAAGGTAACCAGGGTGACCAGGGAACGCTTTTCAGTAATCTTGCTTCGCACATTAGACATCAATCACCGAGCAGATCCAGCCAGGGTCTCCTACATTCGGACAGGTTAGGATCTCAAGTTATTGACGATAGAAGAAGAGGTAGAGGTATAGGAAATTCCAACATGTGGCGAAACAGCAATGCCAACATGAATTATGTTTACTAGTTCCAACTAAACCACATACTTTGTTGTAATTTTAGAAATAATGCTGCGTCTTAGATTAGATGTAATAATGTTCAATTTTACGAAGCATTGTATAATGACACTTTTCACAGAAACATGGATCTGGGCTCAGATGTTAGGGAAATGTTTTCCTTCGAACTTTGGGCAATATTTTGGGACTGTGTGCCCTACTTTGTTTTTTGCATTAACTTGTTTTCCCATTCTCCCAAGCAGAGTTGTCTTGCCTTGAAGTGTTCACAATATCGAGAGCTGCGTGGGAATCGGGGGTTGGGGGCACGTGTTACTATCCATTCTGCCAGAGTTGTCTTTCCTTGCAGTGTTCACACTGACAGCGAGACTCGCATGGGAGATAGATACTTACAATAATATACTTGTAAAGAGCAATAAATGGGATTTAGCGTCGGGCCTGGGGTTTCCAACCACTATGGCCTGGTTTATATGCCAACAACTGGCAACAATTGGTAATAACCCAAAATAAAGCAGTCAACAAAATATCTATTTTTAAAAAGGGGTTATGACATTATTATTATTTTGAATCAAAATAACAATGGAATATAATGATATCAATGTTAATTCACTTGTTTTCTTATGTTCCGGTAATTCATTCTGCTTACAAAAAAATAGTAAGGCGAAAATGAATTAAGCCTACGCAATGAATTAAGCCTACGCGTGCTTACGGTTATCCGACCGACCCTATGTTTATGAGCCGAGATCGCCGACCCGAAATATTTTTCTCATGGCCCGGACTAGTTCCTTTAGGAACGGCTTCTTATCGACTCTGTCCTAGAGTCCCATAAGAAGCCGTTACTAATCATTCTAATGTAACTAGGCCCAGACCCTATAACTATGTCTTGTCGCTGTTTTCTGTAGATAATTGCAGCATTGAAATTTCGGTAATATTTTCCGGAGCTTTGTCCGAGAGGGACAAATATATTTTAACAGATTTTCCGACCGACCGACCGACTAACCCTATATTGAGGGATCATGTACACAGAACTGTAAATACCTTAATTATGCCTTTTTTCTAACTCAATAATACTGAACCTTCAGTTGAATTCATATCCCCCAAAATATTCATGGGTTAGGGTTGTGATTAGGGTTATAGTTATCAGCGTGAATGAGACATAATGTTGAAATGTTGTTGATGAAGAAAGAGGGTCGATTCAAATATAATCGCCTTAAATACGTACTAACGTTTGAAATATACGTGAACTAGCTGGCTTGCTATGTCATTAAGACAATGAGGTCTATTGTAGAGAAAGACAGAACAGGTCTTCTGAAATTTATAACTAAACTCTAACTATACGCATCTGCCTTGGTCGTTTTTTTTTTATATCAGTTTTACTTGGTTTTGGTATTTTATATTTCCAATAAATAAAAATAAATTCATCTCAGAAATGAAATAAAAGTCGTTTTCTTTTTTATTTGTAAATTCATGGTTTCCATTGCGGTTTGCGAGGTAGATAATGTCAGGTGTCTCGGTTATGTCTAAATATTAAGGCCACCTGCAGATTTCGTCATGTCGCGAGATGTAATTAGGGTTAGGGCACGTGATTGTTGACGAGATTGTGGGTTAGGGTTAGGTGTAGGATTAGGGTTAGCGCTAGCCCTGTTTGCATCTCGTGATCTTGACGAAATCTACAGATGGCCTTAATATTTAGACCTAGGCCTACCAGGCGCTTCCGGGTTAGCGCTAGCCCTGTTTGCATCTCGTGATCTTGACGAAATCTACAGATGGCCTTAATATTTAGACCTAGGCCTACCAGGCGCTTCCGGGGTTCATTCCTGGTTTAACTGACCGAGGAATTTCATCGGGATTGTGCCGTCTGGTTTCCCCTTGTGCAACATGGTTGTGGACCTTACGTGGAAAAACGTACTTTTTTCGGATGGGACGGATGGCCGAATTACAATTGATTGACTTTATATCTTCGGGAAATTCTTGCCTGCTTTCCCTATAACCGTAGTAGAGGGCGAAGGGTTTGACAAATGGTACGAAACCCGCGACCCCGTTTATTCCATTAATAAAAGCATGATAAAGATCCAGTGGGTAAAATTTCCTTCATACAGCACACTTCACGGCGTATGCCTAATGCATTACCCTGGCTGCAGGGTGCAGAAAAGTAGGACGTTAAACCCCATTTCATTAGATTCTTATATCAAAGAGATATCAGTTTGTTTCCAAATCGTTCTCTGCTGAAAACTGTTATATTTTGGGTGTCTAAAGCACATGCTTCTCTAAATTCTAAATTCAGATACGCGCATATAATAAAGATGTATTAAGTAAGCACTAAATCTGCCCAATGTACGTCTTTTTTCTCTAGCTTCTCATGTTACATGAATTGTTAGTTACACATCTAATATTATGACAAGCCCATAATCAACTCTCTAGATCATCAAATGATGGGGATTTTAATGCGATCGCCAGTTCATAGTTTAATTTAAAAATGGATAATCGAGACATTTTATTGAGAGAGAGAGAGAGAGAAAGAGGTGGGGGCTAATATATGATTCAATTGTATTTCAATAAATCGTTTGCGCCTATAGGGGTCTTTTAGCAGTGGAAGAACACCGGAGGACCGGGAGAAAACCAATGAGGTTGGACAAGCGGGGAATCGAAACCACGTATATACGCCACTTTACTCAAAGAAAGGCCTTTATGATACAACGCGCACACGTTAACCCCCCCACCCCCAAGCAATTTGACTGAAATGTTCAATATATATTCGATCATTTCTTATTAGGCCTATCTATTTGTAAACTAATTTAGCAAGAATGACCAGCTCTTTATCTAAATTTTACAAAATGCACCTTTAATATTGAGTAAAAATGGCGTAATGAACACGCGCGACTATATTTATTATCAAATGGCAAAATGTTATTATATCATTTATAAAGATGTGGGCTTCGCGGGGTGTGGACAATTTAAGTGCGATAATATGGGTTGGTATTTTATACAATTCTTTCACGGGACTAAATGATTGCGCCTACAAAAGACTGGATACCGGTGTGTCTAAAACGGTAAAACTCGTTAGACGGGTTTTGATGTGTGTGAATGGTTTATTATAATAGCTGTATAATAACAATAGAAGGTATGGGCAGGTTATTTATAGAAAACTTGTCTTCAATGATAGACCAGTAGAACGGGCTGGGCTGAGACAACAACTCAACCAGGGATGACAAAAACGAGGGACGGAATAACGGAGAAATAAATAAAATACAGCAGTGATTTTCGGGAACAGCGGTTCCTTTGAAGTTGTATTTACCTGGTGCCGTATTTCCAGGTATGTTGATTAAGATATTAATTTATTTTCTGCTATGTTTATTTGGTTGTTTTGATATCGGGAGGGGTAATGGTGTGGTTGTGCATGGTGACTTCAGCCTTCAGGCGTGTATTTACTAGTTTTAGGAATTGGTGAAACATCGGTCAATATACGCCAGATTTAAACTGTGAACGGGGGGATATATAAAGATTACATGACTTTTGTATATTTGAATATTGAATACGGTGATATATTGATTTTATTAATTCAATATTTTATTTATTAAAAAATATGGAATATGGATCTGTGAATTACAGTGAATATTATGAATATGTTACAATCATAAATCTATTATAATTTTCCTTAATTTCTCAATTAAAGCAACTATATCTATTTTCAAATATCCAAGTTGAAATAGGTATTGTATATTGAAGTATGCAATATTTGATAGTCATGATATATGTGAACAATATACACCAGTTATAGAATGATTATAAAGGGTTCACACCCTAATACCTAAATGTATATATAAGGGGAGATTATTTTATATTATATAACATGGTATGTAATAATGTTGTAATTTATATATACATGTTTTGTTAAATAACCATCAATTGAATATTATGATATATTTAAGACACAAATTACCAAAAAATATTATTTTGTATGTACATGTTCACACCTTTTGAAAATCCACTGCCATGTCATTCTTTCAAATTGAAATGCAATGAAATGAGGTTTAATGTCTGCACTAAGTAATGGGCTTGTATGGCCGATTGGTTTAAACTCCTGAGCTTTAGAGCATAAGGTCTGTGTGTGTGTGTTTGTGTGTGTGATGGCCAAATGGTTAGCATGTGTGTGCGGTATCATAAGGTCTGTCATTGAGTCAACTGGCGTGGTTTTGATTCCCCTGTTGTACGTGACAAGGAATAGGGTCACCTGTCCAGCCTCTTCGGTTTTCTACTGGTCCTCCGGTTTCCTCCCATTGCCAAAGACCCCTATGCACAAGCGAATTATTGAAATAAAATTGAACGATGTGTAAGTCCCGAAATGACCTAGTTTGTGTCAGTGGACATTAAGTCCCCCTTCTCTCTCTCTCTCTCTCTCTCTCTCTCTCTCTCTCTCTCTCTCCCCCCCCCGTATCACCCATCACCCACTTAAATGTGGAGAGATATTAGGTGTTGGAGTTTAGGTTATTTTGTCTGGACAGTCATGAAATTCCAACTGTCAAGAAACCAAGTTTTTCATCCTATCTGAACAGCTAGACACTGTTCCTTGCTGTTCTGCACCACTGCCAAGTGGAAATCAGACTTGAAGATCCTGAGGAACTTTCTGTTAGAAAAATGGATGAACAGATTCTGATTCACAATGTTTTAAAATAATTTATAAATCTGAAGTCTGTATTTTATTTTTAGTCTGGAAATATGAGGCTATTAGAAGGAGTAATATTATTGGTTGTGGTGATCACATGTCGAGGACAAGATAACATTATACAGCAGACATGTCGAAGTGATGGCACTGATGCTGTCATTCAAAATGGTGCCACGGCGATGGTCGGAGGAATTCTTTGTAACAGACCAGAGTATGGTGAGAAATTCTAAGATTTCAAAACATTTGAAAACTGAGTTTAATATTGTAAATAATCTAAAGGTAGTGATCCTAGCCATTCAACTTGATTAGGCTGTACTGAAACCCCAATACTTTAATCTAGGGCTTGTTACTACCAATTTACCTGTATTATTATATATTGTATATATTTACCTGTATTATATATTGTATAAGTTTACCTGTATTATATATATGGTACATATTTACCCGTATTATACAATGTATCTACCTGTATGATGTATATGGTATATATTTACCTGTGTTATGTATTATATATATTTACCTGAACGAGGCTTTGTCAAGATTTTTTCACTTCATCGACAAGTGTTGATATTTTTTTACATCAAAAAAGACGAGTATAAGAATTTATTTATCACACAATCCTTTCTAACATGCACAAATAAATATATATAATTCTTTGGGTATAAATCAAATTCATGTAAAGCGATATCTCCACTGTAGATATCGCCCAGTAGAATATGAAATTGATCACACAAGCGATATCTACAGTGGACTCTGTCAAATCCGACATCGTATGGGATAGTTACAATATGTCGGATTATACAGTGTTGATTCAATGGAAATCATGTGACGGGACGGTTGATTGATGTCGTAATTCGGAATATTTAGAGTACGGATTATTCAACGATTTTTTTGCTGAAATAATAAGGAAATAAATCGGGACATGAAAATGATTTCGGATTTCACAGAGTGCCGGAGTATTCAGAGGTCGGATGTGACAGAGTCCACTGTTCTGTAGAATATATAATTGGGTGATAATATATATTTACCTGTATTATTATATGTATATTTACCTGTATTGCATAGTTACCTGTATTATTATGATATCTATTTACAGATATACAGGCATATGAAGCATTTCGATATGCTTTTGAATTACTGAATAAAGAAAACACAATCTTGAGGGGAGAGACTTTAAACCATAGTTATGTACCTGGTATTAAATTAGGTAAGTACATAAGTGGTATTGGGTGTTATAGTAAAGTACTGGGTGTTCCAGTAAAATATGGGGTGTCCCAGTAAAGTACAGGGTGTTTCAAAGTAAAGTACATATGTACAGCATGTTCCAGTAAAGTATGGGGTGTTCCAGTAATGTACTGCATGTTTCAGTAAAGTACTGGATGTTCCAGTAAAGTACAGGGTGTTCCAGTAATGTACTGGGTGTTCCAACAAAGTACAGAGTGTTTCAGTAAAGTACAGGGTGTTTCAGTAAAGTACTGGATGTTCCGCTGTAAAGTAGTGGGTGTTCCACAGTACAGCATGTTCCAGTAATGTACTGGGTGTTCCAGTAATGTACTGGGTGTTCCACAGTAAAGTACAGGGTGTTCCAGTAATGTACTGGGTGTTCCAACAGAGTACAGAGTGTTTCAGTAAAGTACAGGGTGTTTCAGTAAAGTACTGGATGTTCCGCTGTAAAGTAGTGGGTGTTCCACAGTACAGCATGTTCCAGTAATGTACTGGGTGTTCCAGTAAAGTACTGGGTGTTCCAGTAAATGTTTATATATAATAGTTTTATAAAGTGATTTTATATTATTATATTATCAGGTATGAGAGTAAAGAATGTATGTGGTAATACAGAGGCGGCTATATCAGCTGCTACAGAATTTTATCCACAGCTTAGTTCTCAGGCCAGTGCATGTAATCTTTCTTCTCCTTCTAAATTATTATTAGGTAAGTAAATGGAACTCTGTTAACCAAAAAAAATTCTCCTCCCTAGAATTGTACATGTTACCATAGAAACAAAAATAACAGTACCAATTTGTTAGTCTTAGACTTATAGGGGGTATTGCGTTGACAAGGTATTAAAATTCTCTTTTTTTTATTGGTGGAAGGAAAACCAATATCCGTCAAACTAACTGAAATATTGTGTTGATACGATGTTAACACTCTCCAATCTGATTAAAATACAGATCTATATTTCTTTTGTTTTTTAATTCTTTCGATGTTAATTGGTTTTTCGCCCGAAACAATTAAGTACAAGACTTGTGTACCATATTTTAAAACGTTAATTGTGTCTTAAATATTGGATTTTAGGATCACACATTTTCACGACAACATAACAACCTCAGTATGGATTGAAATGGACCAATATTGAATTCTAATTTGTGTTTTTAATTTTAAATATTATGGAAAATATTTTCCCAGATTTTCACGGCAACATGACAACATCAATATGGATTGAAATGGCCAATATTGAATTCTAATTTGTGTTTTTAATTTCAAATATTATGGAAAATATTTTCCCACATTTTCATGACAACATAAAAACATCAATATGGATTGAAATGGACCAATATTGAATTCTAATTTGTGTTTTTAATTTTGAATATTATGGAAAATGTTGAGTTAGAGACTTAGATGTCTACCTTTTATTCTACAGGGGCTATTGGTACCAGTGAAAGTGGAACAACCATGGATGTAGCCAAATATTTCGAACGGTTCAATATTCCAATGATATCCCATGCTGCCACTGCACCGTCTCTGAGTGATAATACTGAATATCCTTCGTTCATGAGAACTGTTCCACCAGATGGTCCACTTATGGATGTAAGTATGAATCACTGATATACCGTGGACTCAGTCAATTCCAACATCGTGCGGGATTGATACAATTTGCCAGATTACACAGCATGTCAGAATACTCAATACTAGGTTATCTCAGTAGTAGGGTGGTTGTAAATCTGTTCAAAGTTGTCATAACACTTGGGCTTAGATCAGTGTTGGGATTTCACAATTTTTAATGAATATATGGGACATAACTCTTTTCGTTATTTAAACTGGCGGTTTTGAAACACAATAAAAAATCATGTGTCAACAAGACATTCAAATAGGTGCACCGCGTTATTTTTCCAATTTAATTCCTGTACGGTATTCAAATTTATGTCAGTAATATTCCTACAAAATTATGTGTTGTTGTCATACGATAAAATAAACACATAGATACATAGAAAGTTATGAATTCTTCACACAATGAGGACCTGATGTCCTATAAATGTTTTGAATTTTTATAAAATTATGGGGGCAGGGGAGGGAAGTTTAAAGGGTTAATTTTTCGATATCCAATAAATTTTTGGTAATGGGATGAAAAGAGTAGAAAGGGTTAAGTCTCTGAAGATGCAGGTACAGGTCATGGGGAGTGGGGAGTGGGGGGTGTGTGCCAGGGTGCGGTGGCGAACAATTTTTTACCCTAAATATTCTCGCAGGAAAGGAATTAACATTCAGTTTAGGTTGGAAATCGTAATTTACTCCGAAACGAGTCGGTTGGTGACTTGGTTGATTGCCCGTCAGTCCGCCCACTGAGTGCCGTGAGTCGCACTCCCATGTGGGGGCAGCATCCCCCCCCCCTTTCTGAAAATCCTGGATCCGCCCCTGAGATGATTATTTTTATTTTTAGGTAATTGTTGAAGTTTTAGTGAAAATAAACTGGAAATATTTGGTTGTTGTTTATGAAGATTCAGCGTTTGGATCAGCGTCATATGATGCCATACGCTCACGATTAGCTGCTGCTGGAATCTGTCTCACTAAAGCTGTGCGTCACGCAGCTGACGACAATGTCAGCGATACTCTGGATCAGGTCATTGCCACGGACACGACAGGGGTCATATTTTTCGGAGGTCCAGTTCTAGCTACACAGATCTTAGATGCGGGGGAAACCAAGACAGGCGCCGGAAAACTTCAGTGGATTTTTACAGACAGTCTTTCGTTTAATCAAGATTTCCAGACGAAACTTTACCAGAAGGGTGTCATCAGTATCATAGCAACACAACGATATATCGTGGAGTTTGAAGATCATTGGGTGAGGATTGACGAGAATAATCCATCACCTGAAAACCCCTGGTTTAAAGCTTGGTATATGGAGCAAAATAAATGCCGTTTGACTGGTGTTAACACGCCAGCCTCTCTTCCACCCTGTCAGATAAGAACCGAACGGGAAAAACGTCTTACCTTTAATCAGGATCCGTTCGTAGAACCGGCAATTCATGCCGTGTTCTCTTACGCCTACGCACTACGAGAAGCACAGATGGCAAAATGCGGTGTCAACTTTGTGGGGATGTGTCCGGCTCTCAGGAACATGACAACACAAGAATTCTTCACGGATTATTTGAAAAAAGTTGATTTTATCTACGGTAAGAAAGAAAGAGTTCCAAGTTTGGCCTCGGATCAATATGCTCCTTACTTTGCAGCTGCTAGAGTTAAGTTCGATGACAACGGAGATATTGTTAACCCAGCATACGATATCTGGAATTATAATGACATTCAACTTGGTGGCAGTGTCGGATATAGATTCAGACGGGTAATTATGAAAACTTTAATATTACTTTCCTTCGATGGACTTAGAATTAAAATTACCGGTAAATGATATTAACTCTCAGATCATTTTAGGGGTTTGGTGGACAAATGGTTTTGATCATAAGTTATATCATTGAGTCCAGTGGTATGATTTCGATTCCCAGTTTGTATGTGACAGGGAATAGGGTCGTCTCGTAGGTTTTCTTAGTGCTCTCCAGTTTCCTACCACAGCTAAAGACCCTGAATCACTGAAATAAAATTGCTTAGTTTGTGTCAAGTGGATGTTAAATGCTGTCTCTCCCTCTCTCTGTCTGGGCAAAATTTACCTCACTGGCCACTGCATATCATTGGTCCGTCTTCATTAGCCCGGTTTATTTATTGATATATTGGTCTGCCTCAAAGATTGATTTAAATACTTTTAATACTATTGTTGAGAATCAAACCCGTGACAACAGGCACTATATTCTTAACATATGCTACGGCAGGTATAGTAACTATACACCTCTACCTAGTGAGGCAAAGGGCACTATACTCTTAACGTATGGGTATACTGCCGCAGGTATAGAAACTATACACATCTATCAAGTGAGGCAAAGGGAATTCCCCATGACCAAGTCAGTAGGAATTATATTTAAACTCTTGATGCCACAGAACACAACGAACTCGGTGTCCCCAGATATACCAAACATTACACCCCATATTTACATTTCTTCTACAATCACAGCACACCACATATTTACAACCCCAGATATACAATCAATCACAGCACACCATATATTTACAACCCCAGATATACAATCAATCACAGCACACCATATATTTACATCCCCAGATATGCAATCAATCACAGCACACCATATATTTATATCCCCAGATATGCAACCACCGTATATTTACATCCCCAGATATACAAACAATTACACATATTTACATTCCTGTTACAATAACAGTAGATTTCTTTAAACTTTCTAATTTCATGTCTGTTCCAGGTTGGAACATATGTTAGTGGTCGACTGAATATGAATGTCGACAATATTAGAATGTATAGTACAGATCGAAGATCCCCTCTTACATCCATTCCGGGATCACAATGTCCAAGTCAACCATGTATGCCTTGTCTGGGTGTTCCCCCAGAGACAAAGTATGTTTTTATTGATGGAGATATCATTGTCACTGGAGTATTCTCGATCCATAAAAAGGGAGTGAGTCCGTTAACGTGTGGTCAATATGATAAGGGTGCAAGATCAGGTCTACAATTTATGGAGGGCATGATTTACGCTTTAAATCAAGTTGTAAGTCAGAATATGCTACCGAGGGTGAAACTTGGTGGATTGGCGTTCGATGATTGTAATAGCGGTATCCTAGCAACAACCATCCTTTCACAGGTATTGTGGGTTTTAAATTTGATTTCAGGTACGTCTGTCGTCATTATACTACTCAGTGCAGAAACGTAGGGGGGGGGCGGGGTAATGGCTGAATGGTAAAGGAGTGCGTGTAGCATCATAAGGTCTGTCATTGACCCATACATGACAAGGAATAGGGTCGCTTGTCAAACCTTGTGGGTTCTCTGAGTCCTCCGGTTTCCTCCCACTGTTAAAGACCCCTACGCGCAAGCAAATTATTGAAATAGAATTGAAGCATAAGTTATACCTGAAATGACCTAGTTTGTGTCGAGTGGACTTAAACTAGTGCCATGGTTTTCATCCCGAGTATGATCAGTTAATTGATCACCTGTCCAACCTGAGTATGATCACCTGTCTAACCTGAGTATGATCACCTGTCCAACCTGAGTATGATCACCTGTCCAACCTGAGTATGATCACCTGTCCAACCTGAGTATGATCACCTGTCCAACCTGAGTATGATCACCTGTCCAACCTGAGTATGATCACCTGTCTAACCTCGTGGCTTTTCTCCAGGTCTTCTGGTGTCTGCACATGCGAATTATTGAAAAAAATTGTATCATATGTTAGTCCGAAAACTGACCTGATTTGTGTCGAGTGGACATTCTCTGTCGCTCACACAAGATTAATGTAACCCCCCACCCACCCACCTCTATGCATTCTGCTCTTATAGTTCCAAATTCCTGGAGCAGAACAGTAGGACGTTAAACCTCATTTCATTTCATTTCCAAATTCCTGACCAAAGGATGAAAATTTTATATCCATATTTTATTTCAGGTGAAGGAAGGAAGTCTAGTTATTAAAGATTCAAACGGAAATAGACTTGATCCGCGGAAACTGGCTGTCTATCACGCTTCACATACATCTGATCTCACCTTCCCGATAGCCGAACTTATGAATACCTTTAAACGCCCTCTGGTGTCATATGGTAGTTTTGACGACGATCTGCTGGATTATGAGTATTATACCCGTATGTCGTACGGTATGGGAGGAGAATTCCGGGCTATCGTAATGATGCTGAAACATCTTGGCTTTCATTATGTTCAACTCGTGTATCAAGATCATGAATTTTTTACAAAAGGAAATAAGGAGTTCCGCAAAATAGCAGCTGCTGAAGGAATCTGTGTGGTTACGACAATCATGGCCGAATCCGACCGTGGTAAAACAATCGACAAGTTGCGAATGAATAGCGGCGTTAAACCTGTTGTTCTGAATATGGGCGCAACATACAATAGATACTTTCTGCAGGGTGTCAAAGATAGGAACGCGTCTGGTGAATTTGCCTTATTTGGTATTCATACGTTTGGTAAGGATGAAGCAGTCGTCAAGGGTTTGGAAGATGTAGCTAATGGTGTTATTTCTATTGGATTAAAACATTCATCCCTTATAGATTATCAAAAGTAAGTTATTTTGATATTTATCATTCGCCTAGCAACAAACTTACTCTAAGACTTATTTCACATTTCATGTCAAAAGGTGGCGGCATATTCTTATCTGGAGAGCATACACAATAAATATTATCGGTGTAGACTGGAATAACCAGACGGTAGAGATTGCCATTCGATTGAGACTTCTGGCGTATTTCACCAGTAAAAACCAAAACAATTGCCTTCCAGCGCTATTTGTAACAAGGGAATCGAAGAACGAGGCTAGACATATTTCACAAGTCATGTCAAACGGTGACGGCATATTCATATCTGGAGAGCATGCACAATAAATACTATTGGTGTAGACTGGAATAACCAGACAGTAGAGATTGCCATTCGATTGAGACTTTTGAATGTAAATCAGTTTATATACATTCATATTAAATTATTATATACGTTGAGAGTGAGACCCATTTGTGTCAATTTCTAGGTCCCAAATAATATCGATTTAGCTCCTTACGTTATATTTATTTCAGTTATTTAAAGGGTTATGTTGTATTTGTATATTTCAGTTATTTAAAAGGGTTATGTTATATATTTCAGTTATTTAAAGGGTTATGTTATATTTGTATATTTCAGTTATTTAAAGGGGTTAAGAGTTGGAACTCAGAGTCTGATTAATCCCTGGTTTACTGAATGGTATCAACAGATACATCAATGTTACATCGGATCAACCAATCCACAAGGTTTCGTTAGTCCGTGTAACAACACGCAAACCAATGACATCACAAATTCTACAAACTTTGTACTCTCTTACTTTACTGAGACGAACATTCACGCTATCTATGTCATCGCCAAGGGCATCGACATGACGCTGACCAATATCTGTGGAGACAATTATCAGGGCGTGTGCGGAGAGTTCCAGAATGATCCTAACAAGGGCATCACGTTGTTAGAGAATATTAAGAAAGTGACGCTCACAGCGGAGAACGCTGATTATATCGTTCGATTCAACGGTAAAGAAGTAGATCAACCATATATATTTTATAATTACAATGGACAACAGTTCCAACAGGTAAGATAAATCATAAATTTAATAACATATTAGACTATAATGTTTAGTCTACACGTCATACCATTATTACCCTCCACATGATACCATATTAAGGTATAATATTTACCCTCCACATGATACCATATTAAGGTATAATATTTACCAACCACATGATACCATATTAGGGTAAAATATTTACCCTCCACATGATACCATTATTAGACTATAATGTTTACTCTTCACATAATACCATTATTACCCTGCAAATGATACCACATTAGGCTATATTTACCCTCTCACTATAATGCCATATTATTCTATAATTTAATCGTGAATTTTAAGGATTTAAGACTCTGATATTCCAATGGAGGAAATTTTGTATATTACAGGTTGCAGAATATGGAGATTTAAACAAACAGTTAGATATGCTTGGTACCGTTATGTTTTATAACAACACACCAGCTACAGATTACGCTTCTACTTGCCCAGGCATGTGTGTCCAATGTTTCTATATGTTCCAGTCCCAAGACTACATGTACATTGATGGAGACTTGATCATACCAGCCATGTTTGATGTACACAATAAAGGATCATCACCATTTGCTTGCGGATCTTTGAGAAGCACAAATGGCTTCCAGTATGTCGAAGCGTTTAATTTTGCCTTAAATGAAATAAACAGCGGGCGGTCGTCTGTTAGACTTAACAATAATATAACACTTGGTGGTTTAGCTTTTGACGGATGTATGAACCCACGACGAGCCTTAACGATAACCAACGCTTTCCAATCGTCATCCATCAGATTTGATAACGGTAAAGGTGCCATGATTCATTCTAACAAGACGTTAGCCTGGTTGAGTTATGACAGCCAGTCTACAATCGACATGTCGGAAATACTTGGTTCAATGGGAGTACCGTTAGTTAGTCCCGGGGCCACATCTCCCATCTTGGACGACAAAACACAATTTAATACTTTCTTCCGAACCATCCCATCGGATTCTGTTGTTGCTAAGGGTATGGCCGATTTAACAAACAATCTAGGTTTTAGATATGTAATGACCTTGAACGATCCTAACTCTGGTAGTCGAAGTACACGTGATGCTTATAGAGAATATCTGAAGGCTAATGGGATATGTATTTTATCGTCGTATGAGTTTGGGACAGACGGCAGTAATAGCCTGATTCTGAATTCTATGAACCAGTCAACTACCCATGTTGTTGCCGTTTTCGCGGAGCCAGGAATGTATATCGAAAGATTTTTACAGGATAAAGCTGCCATGTATGGTGGTGTCAAGTTCGTCTTTATATCCAATCGTCGATTTACCATAAGAACAAACGCTGCTGTCGATAGATCATTTTCATTTGATATGAATACCCCAACTATTGCACAGTTCGAAACTTATCTTCGAAACAGACGCCCGAATGACCTTGTCAATAATCCATGGTTCAGGGAGTATTTCGAGAATAAATACAACTGTCAGTTATCAACCATTCTCCCGACGACCAGTAAACAAGTGTGTACAAATCCTGATAGAAGTATTATAGACTCTGTCTTCCAGCAAGATATGTGGGCTTTGTCAACCATTAATGCTGTTTATTCGTTAGCAGAAGGTAAGCTCTCCGTAATTATCTTAAAATACATTCACTTAGTAATCAGGAGTAGTGCTGAAATGGTGTCATTTCTAACTGGGAGAGAAACAGAAATTGTGTCATTTCTAACTGGGAGAGAAACAGAAATGGTGCCATTTCTAGCTGGGAGAGAAACAGAAATGGTGCCATTTCTAACTGGGAGAGAAACAGAAATGGTGCCATTTCTAAATGGGAGAGAAACAGAAATGGTGTTTAATGTCAAGGGTTCTTTTACATGCACGCCAAAGTGTACATGAAACCTTGGTTTTCCGTCCCATCCGAACGACTATATGTCGTTCCTTGCCAGGCCCTCTGTCGTGCATAACTGACAAGGAGGAACCACACCGGAAAATCTTTGATGAACTTTCTCTGCCAATGCAGGGATCAATCATGCGACTTCCAGGGTAGCGAGCCACCAACTTACTCACTGAGCCACTGTGGCTCCTGCTGTTGTTTCATCAATTCAATATTTTTCCATCTTCCCTTTCCGATTCAACTCAATAAATGGCCATCATTTTTTTTTACGTAAATATCTTTATATGACAATAATTACCAACCACAATATGTATGGTAGTTCTTGTTTCCCTCTTCCCATTCCAATTCAACACAACTCATTTTTTTTGACGGAAATATTTACCTGTGAAAATAATTACCAACCACAATATCTTATATTTTATTTTTTTATCCATAGGTGTCCATCGTACATTGACGGAGAAATGTTCAAATGATTACAAAACAATTTGTTCCAAGTTTAGAACAGATGCTGACACTTATCTTCGTGTTATGCAGAATATGGACGTCATGAATTTTACGGATATCCGATCAGCAATGTTTGAGTTTGTTGAACGTGAGAGTAATCAAGCGTTTACTATAACTCAATATTATTCTGGTGCCACGAGAAAGGTGAGATATTTATTAGTTATTATTATTAAACATGCATTATGCAAGAGCTAAATCAGCCTATTGCAGGTCTTTCTTTAGACCTGAAATGTTATATAAATTATTAAACATACATTATGCAAGAGCTATATCTGCCTATTGCAGGTTTTTCTTTAGGCCTGAAATGTTATATAAACTATTAATTAGACATTTAAAATTAACAAAACAAGACCATAATCAACTCAAGATTTTAACTAGATTAGAACAGTTCACCATTTGAAAATTTAATTTAAAAACGGGAAAGCAAGGTCGAAGTCTCGAATATACCAGTGCCCTGGTTACCACAATGCATACATCTTGTCAAAACTACAAACAGTGATGAAGTAATTTGAATGAAATTTTCAATATTTTCATTTTACCTTATCTATTTTTGAGCTATTATAGCAAGAATGGTCAGCTCTTTATCTAAATCTTACATAATGTATCTTTAAGAATTTTTATATAGCTCAATTCCAACAAAGAAGGCTTACAGGTGATTACAATGAACAATTGGTCATTCGACACACAGAGATACATCTATTTCATACTTTAAGAATAGATCTCTGTCCTAAATGGCCGCCATATCTAAAAATTAGTATACTTTTTTCTAATGCGGTTCTACTCCGTTTCATGTCTGACATACACACAAATACTAAATAAACCTTTTCTATTTGATTAAATGGAAGCAGAATGAATCCTTAACAACATTCTCAAAGTATACTTTGTGTTTTCGACTTAAATTGTTGATTTAGGGCTTAAAATGTTGGTCAACTAGCTTAGTGTCTGTTCTCAAGCGGAGCTAACTGTAGACAGACAGTCTGAGTTTAGTATACAATTGGTAAAATAAACATACAAGAAGTAAAAAAATCACAAAAATGTGAAAAAACTAAAAACGGTTAACCGTAAATAAGGGATCACAAATGTTCAAAGTCAATCTGATTAAAATACAGATCTATAATTTGTTTAGTTTTTTATACCTTCAATGGCCTCCACTACATGAAGATCTTACCAGATGTAGTGGGAGGTCGCGTCAGGGGTCATTTAGATTTAAGAAAGAAGTATATATTAGGATTGGAAATATAGCAACAGATTTAAATAAAAATCTAAGCCATTGACAATGCCAATAAGTGTAAGCTGTAGCGACGCTATCAGGGCAAAATTTATCTCATATCACACCTTGTCTTCATTAGCACGTTAAATTTCAGCCTCACTGTTGGCTTGATGATATTAAATTGTCAGAATTGGCCGGAGAGTTGAATTTGTTAAATTTCAATCTCACTGTTGGCTTGTTGATATTAAATTGTGTAGATTTGAGAGTTGAATTTTTTTCATTAAAACAGGCTGGTGATCTGATAAACAAGGTTATATCCTATAGTGACGAAGCCAGTCTCAAGTCAGAATATCGTGATGTCAAATCATCATGCAGTGATAACTGTCAAGTCTGCTCAGAATCATCCAATAATTTTCAAGATTTTACGTACACATGGGGTAACCTGTATATAATTGGTGAGTTAATTTTTACAGTTTGATTAATAAGTTAAAAAATACAGGAAAACTGCACGACAATAATAACACAGAACAAACAATACACAGTACTTCCCCTGCCATGGAATATAGTTGACATAGCTCTCTGAGTTAACATGAGGGGGTTGGGTGGCCAAACACAGAGAGAGAGAGAGAGAGAGAGAGAGAGAGAGAGAGAGAGAGATGGGGTTTAACGTCCACTCGACACAAACTAGGTAATTTCGAGACTAATTTTATTTCAATAATTCGCTTGGCATAGGGGTCTGTAGCAGTGGGAGGAAACCGGAGGACCCAGAGAAAACCTACGAGATTGGACAGGTGACCCTACTCCTTGTCACGTACAACCGGGGATTCAAAACCATGCCAGTTGACTCAATGACAGGCCTTATGATACAGCTCGCGTGCTAACCAATCCCCGGGTGGCCAAATAGATTATAAGATCTGTCATTGAGTCAAGTAGCGTGGTTTCGATTCTCTGCTTATATGTGACGAGGAGTTTTCTCCGGGTCCTCCGGTTTCATCCCACTGCTAAAGAACCTACACGCAAGCGCATTAATGAAATAAAATTGAACCATATGTTAGTCCCGAAATTACCTAGTTTGTGTCGAGTGGACGATAAACCCCATTTTTCTCTCTCTGAGAAAGTTCCTCAGATTGGCGTGGTACAGGATGGAGAGCCTCCCAGCAAACAGGGTCAATTCGGTTGGGAAGAAAAACTGAAGTCTCTTGTACATATTAGCGTGCATGTAGAAGATCCCTTGACGCTAAGAATTCGATGAAGAATAGATAGTTAAACCCTATCTCTCTCTCTCTCTCTCTCTCTCTCTCTCCACCAGCCTCATCGTTTGATCCAGCAGCTACACAGACCGGTTATTCTTTTCACTTGTCAATGTTTATTTGATTGTAATTACAGGTTTATTTGATGTCCATAAGAAAGGTGCCACGCCCTACACATGTGGGGAACTTAATGATAAACATGGCTTCCAGCTTCTCGAGGCCTTTAATTATGCCGTTGATTACGTCAACAATAAAACTGGTATATTTAAAGACACGCTGACAGGGGTGAAGCTAGGAGCAATCGGTCTCGACGTTTGTCAGAATCCAAGCCGTGCCGGTAACCTGGTCACCAACATCATGAGTGAAAACATTAATCTCCAACTTCCTGATGGCTCGATCATCAATCCTAGACGATTTGACGTTTACGTTGGACCATTTGATACAGATTCCTCTCTTCGAGTAGCAGATGTCCTGGACGCCTACTCTACGACACAGATTACCTACGGAGCAACAAGTCTGGAACTTGGTGACATGAGTAAATATCGTTACTTCCTGCGTACAGTTCCTGCCGATGATAAACAGGCTAGAGCCATCATTTCATATTTGAAACGTTTTGACAATAATTTTGTTCAGATTATCAGTACGTTTGATAGTGTTGGAATTAAAGGCAAAGAAGAGTTTATGAGATTGGCACCGCTCAACAAGATTTGCGTTGAAAAAGATATTGTTGTGGGCTATAATGTAAGTATATGCAGATGCTCGTACTTTGTTAAGCGGTGGACGCTTTAGCGAAATCATTCAGCCAAATCTATCACCCCCGAAATTCGCCTAGTGTACCCAGTGCCCTGATGCCAAATGATTCGCTCAAATTAAACATGTCAGATATTTGGCCGAATTTTCATTCACTTAGTTGCTGAGGCGTTCACGCGATTGTTGAATTCATTAACCAATCACCACTGATGCCGAGAAAGTCACATGATTATTTGAAGACAAAATAGCTACTATCACTGAAACGTGAAATTCCGAGAAAGAATCAGAGCTTATTATTTTATGAGAGGATTCAAATACAGCATAAAATTAAACAAATTTCCACAGCTGCAGCTATTTTTTCTTTTTCTTGGTCGCTGCCATGTTTAATCAGGTGACTTGTCACGTGAAAGGCGATTCAATCGAAAGGTGTGTCCACTCAATGGATTTAGGTGGAATTCGGTAGTGAATGATTTGGCTAGTGTGATTCCCACTTTAAAGCAGTTGATACAATATTTTTCAGTCGTCTACAACTTGAAGAAGGTTGCTAGTCAGAAATTTCTAACAATCAGTCGCTATGCAACCTAATCTCAGAAACGTTTGTTACAACTGCTTAGAGAGCCACAGTGGCTCCTTGAGTAAGACATTGGCTTACTAACCTGAAGCTCACGTGTTTGCTCGCTGCGTTGATCGAGAAAGCTCATTGAACATTGAAATTTTCCGACCTGGTTTCTTCTTGTCAGTTGTTCAGGACAGAGGGCCCGGCAAGAAACAACGTATAGTCATTCGGATGGGACGAAAAGCTAAGCTCTCGCGTCCACATTGGCGTCCACATAAAAGATCCCTTGACAGTTTGAATTCAAAAGAAGGGTAGGTCGTTGTTCCTCTTTAGCTCAATTGGAGCAGAACAGTAGTACTTAAACCCCATTTGATTTCATATCATTTTATACCATCAAATTCAACTGTGATTATAAATTAGTATGCATTGATTATTGTAGTAAAATGCTTTATTTTAAGGATGCCTATGTATTTTGTTTTTTTAAGGGACCAATAACAATCAATGAAGCTAACCAGGCCTTATCACAAGTTTTATCCAATCGTTCAGCAAAAATTGTTATCTTATTCGTCGACGATCCACGAGTAATCCTACAAGCTGCCGATCAGAATCCAGATATTCGTCAGAACTATTTCTTCATTGGAACAGATAAATGGGGAATGGATGCAGACATGCTGATTGGAATAAATCGACTGATTGAAAATCGTAAGGCCGTCACCTTTGACGTGGAAACGGCCGATGTTCCTGGTTTTGATAAATATCTGAAGGATAAAACTCCGTCAAATTATAAACGTAACCCTTGGTTTAAAGAATATTACGAGAAACAGTTTCAGTGTAACATCGACGCTTCGTCCACTAGATATACTAAAAGTTGTACAGAGGGCATGATGGGTATTTCACGAAGTCCCGACTATATTCAAGATCCTTACGTTCTTTACGTCATCAATGCTGTGTTTTCAGCTGCACTTGGAATCCACAAGAGTTTACAAGAACTATGTTCTAGACGCACCCAACCTGGCCAAACTCCCGATCTATCGTACATTGGAGCTTGTTCATTGTTCCGAAACAGCGGAGAAAGAAAACAAAGAATATACCAAGGAATCAAACAAGCAGAATTCGTAGACGACACATATCAGCCATTTTTCTTCATGGAAACAGGAGAGAGTGACCGTGGTTACCACATCTACGAACCAAAACACATAGCTTCTAGATATTCATATGAAAACGTAAGTCTCAGATTTATTTATAAAAACTTTGTTATAAGTCTGCATTACTTTCTACTGATTTTGCACTACAATCTTAGGAGCCATAGTGGCTAAGAGAGTAAGACGCTGGCTCGCTATCCTGGAGGTCGCAGGTTCGCTCCAGATGTTGGCGAGAAAGTTCATCGGGACTTTCCATCAAAAAATCTTGAATGATCTGGAATTCTTTTATTTATTTGGATGCGTTTACAATTTTTGTGATTTTTGAGATATATATGAATTATATGATATGTTTGTTATATTTACAGGTTGGGAGTTATAATGATTCCCATTATTTGAAGATTGATATAAGATATGATATGAACTTTGTTGGTCAATGTACAGAAGGTGTCAACTGTCCGTGTATATTCCCGGAGTATGAACCATCTCGATTGATGTTGAAAGAGTCTCCATTTGATCTCAATCTCGTTTACGTGGCCGATGTCCATTTACAATCACCAACCGATCCCTACAAGTGTGGAGAATTGGCGTCCATGAGTAACTTCCAGACTCTGCTCGCGTTCTTCTATGCTATTAATAGAGTCAATAATAACGAACGTCTGTCCGCGTCACTGAAACTCGGAGGTCTCGCCATTGATACATGCTCTAATCCAATGAGAATAGGGCAGGATATTTACAGCTTGTTGAGTGGTGAAGGTATCTGTCAAGCCAACAGCAACGGACAAATCATAGCACCGTCATCCATTATATCCTTCCATGCGTTAACAACAGCCAATTCCATACCACTGAGTCGTATGCTTACGCCGTATAAAATAGTTTCTCTAAGTCAAGGTGCTACCTCGGTCAGACTCAGTGATAAACGAGCGCATCCATATTTCCTTCGCACTGTTCCTCCAGATGATATTCAAGCCCTCGTTATGCTGCAGGTCATGAAAGAATTCAACTGGGATTACGCCTCAATTGTTGTTACCAACAGCGCTTATGGTATGACAGCTTATAATACGCTGATAGAGAAGGCAGCGTTAACCAACTTGAAGACATGTTTTGGTTCGGCTTTCACCATCTCCTCATCTACGACCCTGAGTCAAGCGGAGATAATTGTAGAACAACTAAGCGTCCGGGCGGGATCCAGGGTTGTCATACTCTTCACAGAACCACAGCACTCACGATTATTGCTACAGGCAACTAAAATAAAGGGTTTGACTGGACGATTTATTTGGCTGGCTAGCGACTACTGGGCCAATAGTATGGAGATCGTTGAAGGATATGAAGAAGAGGCTGTGGGAGCCATTACCATAAAGATTCGATCAGAAATGGTTTCATCATTTACAAACTACATGATGAGTTTGACCTTGACAAATAGACAAGGTATCCCTGACGATTGGTTTGAAGAATTTTACCAGAGGATACACAAATGTCGTCTGCTGACCTCGAAAGTGCGTAAAGAATATCCGTCCATTTGTAATGGCGACGAGAAAATCACAAATGCCATGATTACCCAGGATCCATTTGTTTTGCACACGATCATTGCCGTTTACCAGATTGCGGAGAGTTTGAATAATATTGAAGCCTGTGGGAGCAAGAGGGCCGATATTTCAGCTTGTTTGTCGTTACAGGCCAACAGGCGTCAGTTGATCTACGATACTGTACTGGGAACACAGTTTAACGTTTTACCAGACGAACTCAACAACAACTTCACCTTCAAGTTTACGACTGCGGGATATGGCGATATTGGTTATTCCGTTCTCAACTTCCATCGTAACATAACACAAGATCGTTACGTCTATTCTCAGGTAAATCTAGCATTTTTATACGCCCACATCGTAAATCTAGCATTTTTATACGCCCACATTGTAAATATAGCATTTTTATACGCCCACATCGTAAATCTAGCATTTTTATACGTCCATATCGTAAATCTAGCATTTTTATACACCCACATTTTCATGTGGATGTATATTGTTGTCGCCCCTGTCCGTCCGGACGTTCGTCCACAATTTGTTTGTGGACACTCTACAGGTAACAATTTTTACCCAATTCTGACGAAACTTGAAATATAGGTTTATCTCAAAAAGATCTTGGTTCCTTTTGATATTGACATGTATTTCATCGAAACTTCATGAATTAGGCCCTTGATTGTACAAAAAATCTTGTTTTTAGTTTGTGGACACTCTAGAGGTCAGAATTTTTATCCAATTTAGATGAAACTTGAAGTGTATGTTCATATCCTAAAGATATTGGTTCCTTATGATGTATCGGTTCGCAAATTTCTGGATTATGGCCCTTATTTTTTTATACGAAAAATCACGTTTTTAGCTTGTGGTCACAATTTTTATCTGATTTACAAAATCATTCAAATATGTCACTGTTACACCATGGTGACGGTTGAGTTCGAAGTTCGTGAAAATCGGACCAAAACTACCAGACAAAATGGCTGCTCTATGTACACAAATAGTGTAAAAGTATGTAGTATCAAGGTTGTGGACCCTCTAGAGGTTACAATTTTGATCTGATTTTGATGAAACTTAAATGTATGTTTATATCCAACAGATCTTGGTTTCTGTCTATATTTGTGCATATCGGACTGTAACTTTCTGAATTATGACCCATATCCATCACTTGTAGGTGACAAGGAGTAGGGTCGCCTGTCCAGCCTCATGGGTTTTCTCCGGGTCCTCCAGTTTCCTCCCACTGCTAAAGACCCCTACGTGCAAGCGAATTATTGAAATAAAATTAAACCATATGTTAGTCCCGAAATGACCTAGTTTGTGTCGAGTGGACGTTAAACCCCATTTCTCTCTCTCTCTCCCTATCCATCACTTACAAAATGTGGGGGTATCTTGTATGGCAACCGCTTGTTACCATTTTGATTTGTACATAGCATTTGTGACATGTTGTTCCTGTTGGAGATGGAATCCATGTCGCCAGACATTGAATCTATCTGTAACTCTGTGTGATTGACCAGAGTCAAGTTCACAACTTGACTTGGAGAGAGAGAGGGAGAGAAAGAGCAAAATCATGTTTAACCTCCACTTGGCACACTCTAGGTCATTTCGGGATTAACACATGGTTCAATTTTATTTCAATAATTCGCTTGCACGTAGGGGTCTTTAGCCGTGGGAGGTAACCGGAGGCCCCGGAGAAAACCCACGACTTAGGACAGGCAACCCTACTCCTTTTCAGGTACAATCGTGGCTCTAGACTTGGAATCCATACACATGTAATGAATAAGCCTATAATTGAGGCCTGTTTATTTATATATTTCAGATTGGTTTGTATCAACAGAGTCTGGTATTAGATCGTAGATTATATCGTGGTGTTAGTATATTAACAGCTGGGGTTATACCAATTTCAACCTGTCCTACCACTGTTACTTGTTCTTGTATTGGTGTCGCAGGTGCTGCAGGTGCTGGAGGGGCTGGATATCCTGTTGGTACAGACGCTGGCACTGGTATAGTTGACATGGCATCCATGAGAAATACCGTCAATTATCAATACGCTCGTGTGACCTCAACTAGCGGTTATGTAATAGGATCGGATGGAAATTACCTGGACGTCAAAACGGGAGCCATTTTGATTGTAAACGGAGAACCAAGTGGAACGGACAGATTTGGAGATATCTGGGGAGTGATGGTAGCAGCACTTGCGGCTATTGGAGTGTTTATAGCACTATGCTTGTTTATCTATCTATTGGTGGTTTATCCAGTTCGTAGCGGAACAACTATTCTTGGATTCCTCTTACTGATTGGTATAATACTGATGTATCTTCTCGTCTTCGCTTTTATCTTCCACGCCTCTACCGTCAGCTGTGGTTTACGAAGATTTGCTCTGGGTTTTGTCTACGCTTTGGTTTACGCAGTCCTCTTCGTAAAGCTGGTGGATATCTGGAGATGTAGAAATAAGGATGAAATCTCCGCCATGAAGTACAGTAAAATCGGAACCCCTCTCGGACTCTGTTTCCTGGTGTTCATGTTGGTGTTGGTCCAGGTGATTATAAACGCTGAGTGGCTGATATTACAGATCCCCGGAGTTCAGACAATCTATTATAACTTCTTTATCTGGCCGTTATGTACGCCTATCGGTTATTACGATGCTGGTCTAATCATGTCTCTCATCTATGTCATGTTACTAATCGTATTGTGCGTTATTTTCGGTTTCGCTACATTCTCCTGCTCTAGAAATCATTACGAATCAAGGTGGATTCTGGGTATCGCAATCCTTAGTATACCAACGTGGGTGATCTGGTGTTTGGTAGCATTATTAGCTGGGTATAAATACCGTGATGCTGCTGTGGCTGTAGGTCTGTTACTGAATGCTACCTATATGTTGTTGTGTAGCTCACTGCGTAAACTCTACCTGTTGAATAGATATGTTGCTCTGATTGATGAAGAAGAACGAGAACTAGAGAAGGAAAGAAAGAGTCAAGCTGGTAAGATAACTTCATTTTTGTGCCAATTTATCTCTAGCAAAAACAAAAGCTTGTAAATCACACAGTTCAGAAACAAAAATGTTCAAAATCCTTGTATGTCGTAAGAAAAATACAAATTTGGAGGTCAAAACTTTGTAAGCCCAAAATCTTAAAGATGAACAGGCGTCAGTTTATATTTTTCTTGACATCTATATAAGGTATATTTTCAAATGTACAAAAAAAATTTTTTTTAAAAAAATTCCTATATAATGTGGGCCAGCCACAGTGACTAACTAATAATGTGATATTACATAGAGTCTAAATGGTGTATCTTTATCTCAATAATTTGTTTGCAGGCATGAGTATTTAGGAGTGTGATGAATTGAGAAGATCAAAGAAAATCCCTGAGCCTCGGCAGTGAATGCTACCCATTGTCACTTACAATAAGCCTGGGTTCGAAACCATGACACTTGACTTGATAACATACCTTAGACCACCCAACCAAATAAACTGAAACTACCCTAAGTTTTTGCTATATGACAATCACACATACACCCTTGAAATAAAAAATGGAGATTCCCAAATTTTCAAATCATTTCTATTTATATTGCAGGATCTACGTATGGTTCAGTCAGTGGAAGACATTACGACAATGCACCTCAATTCCATCACGGACAGGGTAGTGTCCATGGCAGTGTCCATGGTAGTATGCACGGTAGTCTCCATGGCACCCGTTACGCCTACAGCACGGCACACAGTGGTCGAGGTACGAATGGTAGTAGAGGAGTTGTGTATGCCGTTCCAGGAAGTGGTAGCACCCGTGGTGGCACGATAGTCAATGGTGGCAGTAGTCATGGTAACGTCATGCTGGTACAGAGAGGTCAAGCAAGGCATGTCCAGGAAGGTGGACAAGGTGGTGTCAGTTCGTTTGTTTCCGGAGGTGAAGGAGGCACCATGGTGGTCCAACAAGGAGGTCAAGCAGGTCATGGAGGAAGTAGTAACATATATTCAGAAGCAGAGATGGCTGGTGATAGAATGATAGTCCACGGTGATGAGACAGGTGAGATGAGAGCTATGGCAGTACAAGCTGATAATGACGGAGTATCAGAAGGTCTCTACACTGAAGTTCGACATCCGGGAGGTGGGGTCAGTGTGTCCGAGGCTTTTGGTGGACAATCAGGAGGATCGCAAGGTAAATATACATGCACAATTATTGATGAAAAATATTCTCTGAAATATGAATAATGCTATTTTCTGTTCAATAATATAATTTACGGTCTTATTTATCAAATACTGTGGAAAATGAGCAGGTTATTGATTTAAAAACCTTTGAGAATGAGCAGGTTATTGATATTAAAACTGTTGAGAATGAGCAGGTTATTGATATTAAAACTGTTGAGAATGAGTAGGTTATTGATATAAAACCCACGGGGAATGAGCAGGTTATTGATATTAAAACTGTTGAGTATGAGCAGGTTATTGATATTAAAACTGTTGAGTATGAGCAGGTTATTGATATTAAAACTGTTGAGAATGAGTAGGTTATTGATATAAAACCCACGGGGAATGAGCAGGTTATTGATAAAAATATCCTGGAGAATGAGCAGTTTAATATCTCTACTTTCATATTGTATTTGTGAATGCAAGTTTTCATATTGATAAACACTGTATATTAATATGGAACACAAATTACTATTTTAATTAAAGTGACGTCGATAACGTTAAGAGGACCCTCGATGAAACGTCGCTTTAATTAAAATTGTAAATGTGTTACATATTATATTGCATTTATTACATATATATGTACATTGTATATCAATTGCTAAATGCATCTCACAGAAGTTTTATATATATATATATATATTTATAATTGGTATACATCTAGTTATAAGAACGAATGGATTTACGACACCTAATATATCATATCATCAACACAGTGAATACGAAGGTAACCTTTCACATAATATTTTAGTTGAAGTTTGACGTGTCCTTATTTATTTAATCGTAAATTTGTTCGTTTTCCCGATCAAAACTCTTAGATCAATGATTAATTTAAGTGTGTTAGTATTTCGTTTACCTATTTTTAAAGCCATTGATTGTCACTTGTGGGATTTTAAGTTCCTTGCAAGTTGCAACTGCGATATTGTAAATATTGAATCTGTAAAACAAGTCAGTTGTATTCAGTATTTAGTAAATTGAACAATTTACAAAGATATGATTAATTTGAGACGTTATACAGTGTTGGACGAATATTTGATTTGTTTTCTTAATTAAATAATCAATTTGAGTAGATTTTATCATGGGTTAAGCCATGAACAGTTATACAAAATGCAAAGGATGATCTATGGCTTTAAAAACATTTTATACTTTAAAACAATTTCCATCCAATGTACATGGATTTATTTCTTATTACTAAATATTATTTCACAGAAGTATTGTTTCACATAAATGTTATTTCTAATATCTAAATATTATTTCCAATCACTGAGTTTTATTTCAAATCACTGAGTTTTATTTCAAATCACTGAGTTTTATTTCAAATCACTAAATATTATTTCAATTAAGTATTGTTTCACATAAATGTTATTTCTAATCACTAAGTATTATTTCACGTAACTTTAGTAAAATAATGCACTGAATTTATCTCATAGGAATTTAATTGCACATGTGAATGTCTTTATGGAATGCACATTGAATCAAGTTATAGATATAGATATTTAGGACAAATATAATATAATATAGTAACTGTGTTTTTATAAAGAATGAATGTATATACTATATTTACTTATGTAGAAGTGCGAGAACGAGGTAGACATGTGGAGTATGAATACGTTGTTGGTAAGATCAGAGTATAGAATAGGGACTAGTTTTTAAAAAAATTTAAATCTCAGAATAGTTTGCTTTAGCATGAATGTGTTAAAATATTCATGAATAGGAACTTTATTTATAATATGAATGAAAAAGGTAGAGGAATTCTATTTTAGTCTTCTGCATGGGTAAATAGTCATGTCAATGGATATCAAAATGGGTCAAAAGAAGGGCAAGCGAAAAATACCTTATAAATATCGCATTTCAGTTTTTGCATGAATTTAAAGCTATTTATTGTTTTTGCTGCTATTTCCTTTTTAGAACGATCTTTTTTCGTTAAAACTAAAACAATCTATTTGTTTGTTTTTAAAGATCTCTTTATTTTTTTAAAGATCTCTTTATTATTTTAAAGATCTCTTTATTTTTTCAAAGATCTGTTTATTATTTTAAAGATCTCTTTATTTTTTTAAAAAGATCTCTTTATTTTTTTCAAAGATCTGCCTATTTGTTTAAAAGATATTTGTTTTAAAGATCTCTATATTTTTTTTAAAAATAATTGCATTATTTAGCTTTTGGGAACTTGATTTCCCAATGCATGTATGGTACATGTGTTTTTATTTGCTTAGATATTTTTTGATTCTTAATTTAGTAATTCGTAGCTATGTTGAGGTTTTAATAGGAATTTAAATTTCAAATAGACCTGCTAATTATTTTTCTCTTTCAGTATACTAGTTAGAGATAACAATAGTCAATTTAATAGAGGACATTGGACCATGCCCCCACCCCCTCACCCACCCCCTTGGGCCATCCAAATCCTTTATTTCGACAAGATCCACGCTATAATGGATGCTGTACTTTGGGATTGTTAAATTCATTTTTTTTTTAGGTTGGGCTGTTTCCACATATTCCCCCTTTATAAGTAAATTTACAATTTTTTGTGCCATGTTGTTCGAAAATGATTAGACGGAAATGCTCTGCTCAGGCAAAATTCTCCTCCCTCACATTGCGCACCTTACCATAGAAATAAGAATTATCATATGTCGATCTCAAATGACCCGAGTATTGTATTTATCAAAATATTAAAGATGCCTTATGTAGGATTTAGATAAAGAGCTGACAATTCTGGCTATAATAGTAAAAAAAACAGATAATAAAAAAGGGATATATTGAAAATTTCATTCAAATTACTTTATCCATTTTTAAATTAAATTGGATGATCTAGAAGGAGTTGAATATGGGCTTGCCATGTGAATAAATGTCTAATTGTTTATATATATAACATTTAAGTCCAAGCGAAAGACCTACAATACTCAGATTTAGCTTTTACATAATGCATCTTTAAGAAAGGAAATTACTAGTAGCATGGCTGTACAGAGCTGGTATATATTCATACATAATATATATTTGATGTTAGATCATCATCTGGTTAGTTTATATATTCACTTGGTTTGAAAGACAGAACTTATTTCATAATATTAGCTTATTCAGTTGGTGTCAGTGTTCATTATGCATGTTTGGAGTGGAAGAAATTCTACTGGAAATATTTTGAAACAGATGATGTGCTTCTTACTCTATGTTACAGTGTATGTGTTGGGGCATTTTTTATTTTATTTAGTTTTGTTTTTAACTTATTTGCTTTTTTTAAATATAGAAAACAGGTTTTTAGAGAAAAAAATATAGCAATTAGTTCAGTTTATTTTCTTATTTTACTTTTTTAAAATAGATTTTATATATTTTCAGATGAAAGTTTTTTTGGGTTTTTTTATAACACATATGTTTATAGTTTGCTTTCTGTTTTAAAAGATATTTTAATATTTTAGAATTAGTTTGTTTATTTTTATTTATTGTATTGATCTTCTTAAGCGGTCCATATTTTTTTATTTTGTTTTTAATTGCACAATTATTATTTTAATAAGTATTTTGAAGTGTAACAAGTTAGCACTGTGTTATTAATACTGAATTATTGAAATTAAATTGATATAGAGTTATTTCCCTTTAGTCTCCAGAATTTAAAATAATTCCGATAGACCTGTACTATTTATTCCTGCACACTTTGTACATTTTATAATAATAGCACCAGATGTATTTTGATTTTGAAATCTGTCTTAAACTTTTACTTGGGTATATAAGATTTGATTCATAAAGCAGTGATGATAAATTCAGGCAGAGTTACCTCCCTTTAGTGTTCTGATAATTTAATATGGTTATATTGTTATATAATTTCAGGTGATGATTTGAATTAAAGATGAATGAAGACGTCCTCTAGTTTATGTGAAAATGTTATTTTATTACTCAAAAAATTACAAGAAGAAAATATCAACACAACTTGTTTAAATCAAGGTACACAACATGGAAGTCTTAATAACAATAGTTGGTGTAATATCCTAACAGGTACCCTGTATTTAGTATAGTGTATTTGAAGGTTGATATTGTTACACAATAAACTCACATTACATATGATTTTACTAAACACAGGACTTGATTGTCATGATGCTAATCAGCCTTTCAATATTACATTTGTTTTTACTAAACACAGGACTTCACCTTCTTGTATCTATTGTCTAAATAATTTTACAAAAATCATTCCAACATTAATTTTTATGAGAAATACCAATGATAATATCCTAAATGACATTTAGACTTTATGAATTTACATGAAAATGTGTTATAATGTATGTTATATCAATTTTTTATTTTTATAATAAAACAATCTTTTTATTCAGTAAATCTGAATTTGAATTGGGGAACAGACTATTCTATTCTACTAATAATGTTTAAACTTTATATATGAAGAAAATCCAACATTAGATAGTTTGATATGTAGATAGATATAAGTGACATATTAATAAACGTGGGACAAACTGCTGATTCAATGATTTGTACTACAATCATTCCAATATTATATTTTAATAATCTGTCCATGAAATTTTTATCTAATCAAACTTTTGTATAATCAAGTCTAAAATATTTCTATATCATGTACATAAGGATTTGGAAATACTTAAATGGATTTTGATTGGGTAATTTTTACAGTAAAATCAAAAAGGTCGTTGTTATAGACCAATGAAATGATCTGTTATTGTTTCTTGACTGTATTATATCATATGGTTATATTTGTACATTCCACATGTAAAATATTGTACATCTCCGTATCACATTTTACATGATTTATATTTGTTTATTCTAAGAATCTCAACATGTTATTTACATAGAAAAATTTATATTTCATATATAGGCTACTACCAATTTTAAATTTTACTTGTAAAAATAATTCTAAATGCTAAAGACGTCAACATTACATAAATTTATGTATTTGTGTATTTTTTGTCACTTACTGACCACATGTCTCATTTACTCCCTTTATAACTAATTATTGGAGTGTGACTTAAAAAAATATTTGAATTGAAACACAATAGACTTGAACAGTTATTTCTTTATAATACTTGACTCTCGCTGTAGTGTAACAAATTTAAAAGCTTTATTGCAATTTATTTGAATTTAATGTACCTTCACTCATACTGCTTTGCAACTGTATATATATGTATGCCTTAATAAACTATATAGGCCAAAATAAACAACAACAGAATATAGGCCTAAATCAACAACAACTGGATATAGGCCTAAATCAACAATAACCACTGATTGGGTATGTCCTGTCCTCGATTCCTCAACCATAAGTATTTTCAACTTGGCAGAATTGAGAGTATTGAAAAACTGATCAGGCATTATCCCCGTAGCTATGGCAACTCAACATAATATTATGCCTGTAGCTATGGCAACTCAAAATGATATTACCCCTATAGCTACGGCAGCTCAACATAATATTACCTCCCACCCACCATAGCTATGGCAACTCAACATAATATTACCCCTCCATAGTTATAGCAACTCAACCTGTAACATTACCCCTCTGTAGCTATAGCAACGTGTCATAATATAACATAAAACTGTGATGTTTGACTGTAAAATATATCTTAGGTTTTTTTTTTAACAGATATCGTTTTTTTTTAATATTCTGTTTTATAAATTAAATGTCTCTTTAACACAATTAAAGCTTTTTATAAATATATATGTTATATAGATATAGAGAATATTATATAGATTTTGATATGATCATCCATGTACAAAGTTTTTATAATAAAACAAAAATATATTTTATAATATAAAAAAAGTTGTTTTATCAGGGGCAGGTTGACATGGTCCTGTTAAGGAAATTTAAGAGTTGACAATGCATGATGCCATCTAGTTACTTTAGTAATGAAATATGATAGTCCTAGTTAGTCCTAAGACCTGGACGGATAGAGTCCAGGTACTAGGACTCTCATATTTCGTTACTAGAGTAACTAGATGCCATCATCCTCACTAAATTAGGTAGGCATACAAACATTGAGCTTTTTAAAGAGAAAAATCCAACACCTGTTTGATTTCAATTTTTATTGTGAAGTAATAAGATCACATTGTGATTCAATTTCATTGATTCAAAGCATTAATTGTGATATCACACATGTCTATATTATTATTGAGCGCTTTGAATGCCTATCCCATCCCACCATCTGATGATAAAGGATAAAGCACATGACCGTTACACTTTTCTCATAAAGTACTGTTTTACAATATTTTTTATGTAGCTTAGCAGGGTGGCCCCCCCCCCCCCGCCCACTGGCTCTGCCCCTGTTTATGTCCAATTTATAATGTATTATGCTCCACACATGGACATAATGTGCTGAATAGCAGCCAGGGAGATGGGGGTGGGGGATGCGCCTTTGGCACACTGATATCGAGGGAGGGGGGGGGGCTGTGCAAGGCACCTTTGGCACCCTGATATCGGTAGTATTTGCCTTACTTCACTAAATAATGTAAAATAATAAAGCACGATAATATATTTCATAATATAAAATAGTTGGTAATTGGATTTTATCAGTTTTTTAACGCATTAACAATGATCATGCTGATAGTACTGAACAGTGGTGTACCTAGCAATGGTTCTCGGCGATGGGGGCAAAGTTATTTACAAGTTTGTACGTGAGAAGGTATCTTAATGTCAACTATAAGACATATTTGAGGAGATACATAAACATAGAACAATCATCCATATTTGGCAGTAGATGGGTGGAGAACAGAGAAAATCAATATACGGTCATCCTCCCATTGTCATGCGTCGAATAAAATTAGAAAATATTTGTTAAAACCTGTAGCCACTGTTGCGTTCACAAGTTATGCGTTATTGAAAGAATTTTAATTCAAAAAAGAAGAAGCGAGGCTAAAACTTGAATGACCAGTACGGCGATTACGATCAATGAACAGGTCTTGTCAAAGCTACAACCATTGATAACTTCGCTCAAAATAAGTAACTCGAATGAAATTTTCAATATATTCTATTTTTGAAATTTTACAGCTCTGTATTTAAATCTTACAAAGTACAGCTTTAAGCTATTTAGGACTAATTTCCCCGCCAACACCCCTTTTACTCTCCTTGAAATTCGTATCGTTGGACACGTTTATACGAGGACTGCTGTCGCCTATGGTAACCAGAGAAACAACTATAAAATATAGTATAAAATATAATAAATCGGACGTGGTACTATATTTGTTTTATTTTTTGTTAGTGACTATTTACAATATGTTAATACATATATTCACCAGTTACTATGGTTATTATATCGTCTGTTTTACAGCCAATCATATCAATTCATCTTGGGACAAAGAGGTTAATTAACAGCACCAGATATTTCAAAAGTCAAAAACTGGTTTGAGAACGAGAATGATAATAGGCCTACAATTATTATTACTTTATTTGTCTAAGACAGATAAAGATGGTGGCGTGATATCAATGGTAAAATCGTCACAGCATAAAACTTTAAATGGTCATAATTTAAGTTGGAATTGATAGACTTCGATAATTTTTATTCCTGCATGTTGGGGTTTTTGCAGATTTTTTTTGTAAATTACTCAATTTCCATGTCATTTTGGATAGCGAGACATGCGTACAGTGTTATAAAATGCCAAAATTTGAGATTTTAAAACAAAATTGCCTTCAAATATCTAGATTATGCGATTTATTTTTGGGCTCCTGTGGGTTTTGATTCTGTATTTCCAGTAGTAGAAGTGGGTTTGTCCATCATAATATCCGGTTGTGGTCCCATCATACCTGGGCGTGGTCCCATCATACCCGGGCGTGGCCCCATCATACCTGGACGTGGTCCCATCATGCCTGGGCGTGGTCCCATCATGTCTGGGCGTGGTCCCATCATGCCTGGGCGTGGTCCCATCATGCCTGGGCGTGGTCCCATCATATCTTGGCGTGGTCCCATCATATCTGGTCGTGGTCCCATCATGCCTGGGCGTGGTCCCATCATCCTTTGTCGTGATGCCATCATTTCTGATAGTGGCCCCGACATACCTGGTGGTGGCCTCATCATCCCTGGTTGAGGTCCCCCCATCATCCCTTGTGGTTTACCCAAAAATCCATGTGGTGGCTCCATCACCATTCCCCCTGGTCCAGCCATCATCATTCCTCCGGGTCCAGCCATCATCCCTGGTTGTGGGCCCATCATTCCTGGTGGTCCAGCTAGCATGCCCTCTGGTCCAGCCATCATACCGGAATCTAGCGCACCCATACCGGCCATAGCACTTCTAGTTACCATGCCAACTTGGTTGTCAAGTGCTTTTATAGCGTTCAGTTCATCGGTCATTTTCTTTCTATAAACATTATCAATAACACGACTGGAAAAAAACAAAGACCAATATAAAATTAATATGTGTCTTCATCAATATAAAATTAATATCAGTAGGCCTCGTGTATTATTGTTCCACTCGGCAAACCTCTTTCCGAGTGTTATTGTTCATATCAAACCCACCAGTGACAATCGTATGTACAGAGAGAGAGAGGGAGAGAGGGAGAGAGAGGGATGGGTTTTAACGTCCACTCGCCACAAACTAGTGCATTTCCGGGACTAACATATGGTTAATTTTATTTTAATAATTCGCTTGCGCGTAGGGGTCTTTACCAGTGGGAGGAAACCGGAGAACCCGAAGAAAACCCAGGAGGTTGGACAGGCGACCCTGATCCTTGTCACAAACAACCGGGGAATTGTACAGAAAGGCGGGTATATATCAGTACTGCCTACACGTTACACAAAACAGTTTGTAGCATTCTTTTTTCTGCTTCTCGCGTCCATTATCCCGGTTGGTGAAGAACAGTAGGACGTTAAACCCCATTTTATTTCACTTCTATTTTCGTTTCATAATTACACTTAATATAGTCATGTCCAGGAACTTGAGGGGGTCCAAGGTGGAGACAGCGACAAGTGTGATGTCAGGTCACGGGGAAGTACCCGCGAATTTCATAAAATCTGAAGGTTTGAGAAGGTGCGTAACTAGCTTAGGGCAACAAGGGGTGTGGGGGGGCGGAATGTGTTCTCAAGGCTGCTGTAATATCTACGGACACTGTATTTGACAGGGCGGGGGGGGGGGGCTGGTTACGGGGCTGGGTTTGAGACAATATTTCTGCTCTTTTAGGTGCATACAGTGGGGTGAGCCAAAACGGCAGCAATACCTCGCAATCTCTTTCTCGACACGCACCTGATGTTATATCTCTACACGGTGGACTTTAAAGTTCGGATTGGTGTCATATCAGAACGACTATCCCTGACGAGTGGAAAACGGGATTAACGGGTTCGACTGCCTTAATAGAATAAGCCCCGTGGCTTATAGCGCCGCTGATTTGGACAATAAACGACTGATGTGGATTAATGTATGAAAGCTGAATAGCTAAATTAGATCATTTTCCTCGGCCCATGTTCTAAATCAAAATTTCCTAATACTTAAGACAAGTTCTAAAGAAAGTTCCCTGTCAAGTTCTATACAGCGCCGTTATCAAACGACCGAGAAACAGTCAAATAAAACACTGTGGATAACAGTTACTATAGTCTATTACACTGTGAGGTTCCTTGACAGTTGGAATTCGATATAAAAGTAGGCCGTAGTGCCACGGTCCGAGCAAAATGTCCTTATAGCACACTGTATGCCCGTCTTCATTAGCCCAGTCGGAGCAGAACAGTAGGACGTTAAACCCTATTACATGGCTGTAGTTACCTAGTAAGCAGATCTGTATAAAACTCTTTCAGTATTTCTCTTCTGGCGGTACTCAGGTGATTTTCAAACTCAACCATACTTTTAATATTACCAGCTTCCTGCGTCATCATAGACTTAACTGTAAATATAGCACAAGTTTATACATTTCACCACTAGGAAATACTGTGTTACGACAAAAAGCTGTAGAGATGGGTTGGTGGAGGGGCGGGGGGATCTTGGGGGTTGACCCCAGTCGCATCCCAAAATGGATGTCAACAAAGTACTGGCATTAACACTTGAACGCCCTAGTAGAACCTAGATCGTGTTGCCTATATAATTGTTCGCCGATCGTTATCTCGCTGAGAAGCAGTTTACAGTAGATATCATAAAGTTCATGTTATGATGGCTATTGATTTTATAAATGTTGTTGGTGAACCATAGGGGCTTTAACTTGGTCTCACGTGACCGTCTGAACCGGAAAGGGGTGGGGAAGTTGTCTACATAGCTTGTTGACTATGCAAAACCCGACTACAGAATGAAGTATTCGACAATCAATAAACACGTGTATGCAAAGTGAAGATATTTTAGCCGTTGTCGTTAGCAAGCAGCTTTAGCTCTATCTAAAAATGTACGAACCTTCGTTAGCGAAACCGCTATTGTGACTCTTGTCCATTCCAGGTGGCATTTGACCTCTAGGTGGCATACCCATTCCTGGTGGCATTCCCATTCCGGGTGGCATCTGACCTTGTGGTGGCATTCCCATTCCAGGTGGCATCTGACCTTGTGGCGGCATTCCCATTCCAGGTGGCATTCCCATTCCAGGGGACATCTGACCTTGTGGTGGCATTCCCATTCCAGGGGGCATTCCCATTCCATTTGGCATCTGACCTTGAGGTGGCATTCCCATTCCTGGTGGCATTCCCATTCCAGGTCGCATTCCCATTCCAGGTCGCATTCCCATTCCAGGTCGCATTCCCATTCCAGGTGGCATATGACCTTGTGGAGGCATTCCCAGTCTGACTGTTTTGTTCTGACGACTATGCTCAAGATTTCTTCTCATTGCCATCATTTTTTCCAAATTGAATCTTTGGCTATCTGCATCGCCACGTGTCGGGGTACCAGTGGGTGCCAAATTCATTTTAGACCGATCAACCCATTTTCCTGAAGGATTTGGTAGAGGAACTTCCATACCGTTCATTGCTCCGGGCATACCGCTCATCTGTCCGGGCATACCGTTCATTGGTCCGTTCATACCGCCCATTTGTGGGGGCATACCGTTCATTGGTCCGGGCATACCGTTGTTCATTTGCCAAGGCATACCGCCCATTTGTTCGGGCATACCGCCCATTTGTTCGGGCATACCGCCCATACCATTCATTGGTGGCATACCATTCATGGGTGGTCGCATACCATTCATTGGTGGCATACCGTTCATGGGTGGTCGCATACCGTTCATTGGTGGCATGCCGTTCATGGGTGGTCGCATACCGTTCATGGGTGGTCGCATACCGTTCATTGGTGGCATGCCGTTCATGGGTGGTCGCATACCGTTCATTGGTGGCATGCCGTTAATGGGTGATCGTATACCGTTCTGTCTTTGCATACCACCCATTGGTGGCATACCGGGCAGCGGGCCAAATGAGGGATTTTTGTTTTCTGCTGCCGATGTAAATGGGTTTTCTGTAACAGGAGCACCCATGGTGGGTTTGACCTCTGTTTTAGGTGGTTGAACAACCGATTCGGAAAGGGTGGGGGCATCTGTAAATATAGAAAAATATTAATATTATTGGAGTTTGGTAATCTATACTAATATTTGTGACAGTCGTTTGTTTGTTTGTTCAGGATTGGCGACTACACTAGGGATGTCACGGGGCTGACATTTGGAGTGTAGGGGTAGCTCGGAACGGGGAGTAGTATAGGCTTGATGTTACTTCCGGTTTCGGAGTTACGGGCACAACCCGTGAAGCGCCCGGTCAACCGCTAGTTATGAATAAATGGATGGGTGAATGGATGGAAAATAAAACGTCACTGGTTTATAGATCATGGATGAAAAACCAAATGGATTGATACAGGGCCGTAACTAGCTCAGGGCAACGAGGGGGCGGGAAGTGTTCTCAGGGGTGCTGTATCTATTGTTTTTATGGTCGACAGTTTTTCACGTTGGGGGGGGCCTTTTGCACCCTCCCTAGTTACGGGCCTGGATTGATAGTGCCTGATTTCCGTAGATAAAGCGGGTGGGGGGCCTAGGCTATTCCATTTATAAGTTATAAGGCCCCCCCAATCCCCCACCCTTGCAACTAGAGGCAGATGAGAGTGTGTTTTAAAGGACAATATTGGTGTCAGTCATTATCACATATGTGATAAAACTAATTAAACACGTTTCAAATATAAATTTAACACAGAGGCCATTGCTATGATAGCTGGGTAATACAGGTTTCCTGAATCGGAAGTGACGAACGCCAAAGGAAAACACGAGTCATCCCTCTATATAACTGACTGAAGTGACGAGTAATAACAGATACATGGGCGAATTTCTGCTCACTAATAATTCCTTCCAAGACCAAAAGTTGTGTGAGACTGTGAGAGGATATCTGACAATTCATAAAAAGAATTGACTGACACTAGATAAGGGAACACGAAAGAAAAACAGAAAAAGTCCGTGCATTACCATGTTTTTATAAGGTGTAGAATGAATATAAACAAGGGAATGTACGGACTATTTCTATTTTGCTCGTGTTCTCTTATCTAATTACTGTATTGAATGGTCAGGTATCCTCTTACAGTCCCATATAACAACTTTTGGTCTTAGAAGGAATTATTAGTGAGCAGAAATTCGACCGTGTATCTGTTATCACTCGTCACATCAGTCAGTAATATAGATGGATGATTCGTGTTTTCCTTTGGCGTTCGTCACTTCCGATTCAGGAAACCTGTATTACTCAGCTATCGTAGCAATGATCTCTGTGTTAAAATTATATTTGGAATGTGTTTAACCAGTTCTATCACATATGTGATAATGACTGGCACCAATATTGTCCTTTAAATACAACTGAGCAGAGCGGACGATGATGAAGGTTGTGTTAAGACTACAGTGTGTGTAAGTAAGGCTTATTATATCACGTGGCCCTGGATCTTGAGAAATGAAATGAAATGGGGTTTAACGTCCTACTGTTCTACCCCGAACTGAGCTAATAAAGACGGGCATACTCCATATAGTGTGCTATGGGGGAAATTTTGTTCGGACAGCGGCGCTACGGCCTACTCTTATATCGAATTTCATGGATCTTTTACGTGCACGCCAATGGGTACACGGGACCTCGGTTTTTTGTCCCATCCGAACGACTATACAGCTGCCCTTGTCAGGCCCTCCGCCTTGCATCACTGACAAGGGGGAACCACCCTAGACCCTGAGGGTTGTCAAGCCTATTGTAAATCCGGCATTGGATTCGTTTATAATTATAAATGGGTGGGTAAATGATGGATTTAAATGCGTTTGGCATGTTTGTTATTTTTTAATAAAAAGGGAACTCAATTTGTATAAGTAATAAATGATGACATGGGATTTAATGTCCTACGGTTCTTCATCCCCCATCCGAACGACTAAACAAGCGGAAACAACGCTAGAAAATCCCTAGAAAGGGGTCAGAATGACAATAACAAGCCAATAAATAAAATGAAATGGGTTATAACGGCCTATATGACACTTCAAAAACATTGTCGCAATCTTTTGGATAATATATTGTTTACGTATATGAATATAATATATTTCGAGACTAACAAGTTTGTTTTCTGGGTATCTTAACATAATTCACCTGGAAAATATCAATTAAACATCCAACATATTTGTAACTTTTGGTCATAATGGATGAATGATTAAGTGGTGGCGGGGTCCTACTGTTCTAGACCTACTGCGCTAATTCTGGCCGGACAGCAATTCAATTCTTTTACGTGTAAGACAATACGGGACCTAAGTTTAGACGCTGCCCTTGCCAGGCCCTCCGTCTTGCATCACTGACAAGGTTAAACCACGCCAGAAACATTTTGGTCATAAACAAACCAATAATATTAAATGAAAGCCGCAGAAACCGAATAAATGATCAGCACGGGTTCAAGCTCAGGTGAAAATATTTACAGGTGTCTTCTTGATCTTATAAACAAATAAACAATAATATTACATGTGGCATGTTGATTGTGATCTCTAGAGGTCATCTCAAGGGCAACTATCTAACCATAGCTTATATTGACATGTTTATTTGTATATTTGTTCCCCAATCCCTATTCAGATACAAATCTGAATAAAATATTGTTTATAAAAAAAAACAGACAAGAATTTTAAACTAAGCTTAGAAAACTTTTTGTGGAAAATAAATATCGCCACATCCAATAAACGATCGCCACAGGGAAAAGTTATCGCCCAAATACTTCTAGATTCACATTTAATCGCCAAAATTATAATTTTATAGCAATTAGCGGACTTCGCGATCGAAACATATATCGTATGCCAGTCCCGACTCCCGGGATGGCCTAGTTTGTGTTAAGTGGACGGTAACCCTATTTCATTCTATGTGTAACCAGGTTCCATACACACGAAAACTTGAATTAAAATCCTTCACATCGATTTCTTAAAAAAATCAAATTTATCGAATATGTATACCATATCTTAAAACGCCCTATTCGTCAAGACTTAGTTCGCATAAATATGCATTATGTAAGATTTAGATTGAGAGATATTCGTTCTTGCTAGATAATGAAAATGAATATACTGAAAGTTTCATTCAAATTACTTTATTCTGAGCCACATTATCACTGAAGTTTTGACAAGATGTGGCATATATTTTTTATTATCGTTTCTCCATTTTTTATTTAAATCATTAAATGGCGATCGCATTTTAATCCGTTTAAATCACTGCCATCCAATGCCCTAGAGAATTGATTATAGACTTGCGATGTGAATAAGTGTCAAATTAATAATATACATAACATTTGGAGCCAAGAACAAACACCTGCAATAGGCAGATTTAGATCTTGCTTAATGTACCTTTAAGATAAGTCGGGGGGGGGGGGGGGCGAATGGTTAGCACGCGCGCGCTGAATCATACGGTCTGCTATTGAGTCAACTGACGAGGTTTCGATTCCCCGGTTGTACGTGACAAGGAATAGGGTCGCCTGTCCAACCTCGTGGGTTTTCTCCGGGTCCTCCGGTTTCCTCCCACTGCTAAAGACCCCTAAGCGCAAGCGAATTATTGAAATAAAAAAATTAAACCATATTATGTTAGTCCCGAAATGACCTAGTTTGTGTCGAGTGGACGTTAAACCCCATTTCTCACTTTCTCTCTTTAAGATAAGTCGTATTAGCTTAAATCAATTTTAAGTTAAAAAAAACAATTTATTTTAATTTTACGGAAATTAAGGTGCGGGCTTTTTATAAAATGATTATATGGGATATATCAGTATTTTACGAGTTTATAATGATGTAGATAGTGTAAATACATATATCTAGAGGATATAACATGTGATATAAGTAATTATATTACACCTCTAGGCCTGTGTATACTCATATATCACAGTCTTATATCATGATCGTAATTATGATTAATAATCAATTAAACATTAAATACATTCAGATATACCTCTTCCTGTTTTATATCCACGTGACACGATCGTTGCATTTTCTATTCAATTTTATAATTACACAACTCAGACCAAACTTTCAGAACTTTTATAAATCGTTAAAAAATATTGACGACCTCTTATAGCTCGTCAGCACCAACCGTGCCGTGTCGCTCCAAATGACCGTTCAAAATTTTATTATTAATTTTTATAATTTCATAAGCGTTTCCCTGTCATTAATACTGAAAATTATTTGCAACAAATGTCATATTTTGTCAAAGCTTAATTTTGAATGATGATTGTTCGGGACTAACATATGGTTTAATTTATTCAATAATCCGCTTGTGCGTGGGGGTCTTTAGCAGTGGGGGGGGGGTAGGAGGACCCGGAGAAAATCCACGAGGTTGCTCAGGCGACCCTAATCCTTGTCACGTACTACCGGGGATTCGAAACCCGGTCGGATGAGACATAAACTGAGATGGCGTGTCCATAAAAGAATCCGGGACATTCGGAATAAGAAGAGACCGTAGCACCCATCTTCACATGCCATCTTCATTATCCCGATTGGTGACGAAAAGTAGGACGTTAAATCCCCATTTCATTTTCAGTATTTTTCTATCAATGTTCGAGTCTATACTTACCTCTGACCAATTGTCTTTTTTTACGGTGAAGTAAACTTGGTCTGGCCAGTGCCGCCACCAGGCACATCGAAATTAACAACACGCTAAACCCTCTCATCTATAAATAAAATAACAAATAACAAATAACAAATATATTCTAATATTGAGGAGTAAGTTTTTATTTGTTCTTGAAGTGGGGTAGCTGGCCGAATGGTTAATGCGTGTTCGTTTCAGCATACGGCCCGTCATTGAATCAACTAGGGTGGTTTCGATTCCCCACTTGTACGTGGCAAGGAGTAGGCTCACTCGGTTATTACCTCACCAA